GTTCCTATTTGTCATGTTTGTCATATTTGTTTCATATTATTTCGGTGGTGTTACTAATATTGTCGTCTTTGTCTTTTTGTCTTCTTGAGCCGAGGGTCTTTCCGAAACAGCCTCTCTACTCCTTCGGGGTAAGGGTAAGGTCTACGTACACACTACCCTCCCCAGACCCCACTAGTGGGATTTCACTGGGTTGTTGTTGTTGTTGTTGTATCTTTGTTTGTAAATTAAATAATTAATTTCTTTAATTATACAATATATAATTATTATGTATTCACATAAGGGTTCCAGGCTCGATATTTGAGGCCCAGTAGCACCAAGATATCCTGAATTCTTCTATGCGTTAGTTTTATTATTTTACATGTTAGTTTTATAATTTTAAATGTTTGTTTGTAAATTAAATAACTAATTTTTTATAATTGTACAATATTTAATTATTAAATATTCACATATGGGTTCCAGACTCGATATTTGAGGCCCAGTAGCACCAAGATATCCTGAATTCTTGTATGTGTTAGTTTTATAATTTTATATGTTTGTTTGTAAATTAAATAATTAATTTTTATAATTATACAATATTTAATTATTATGTATTCACATAAGGGTTCCAGGCTCGATATTTGAGGCCCAGTAGCACCAAGATATCCTGAATTCTTCTATGTGTTAGTTTTATTATTTTACATGTTAGTTTTATAATTTTATATGTTTGATTATAAATTAAATAATTAATTTTTATTATTATTTAATATTTAATTATTAAATATTCACATATGGGTACCAGGCTCGATATTTACGGCCCAGTAGCACCAATTCTATGTTGACTATAATTGGACAGAGTTTGTGTTTGATCTATCAGTTATTTTGACGTATTTTTGAGTATAAGAGATACTTAAACTACAGAGAAATTACGCTAAAAGGCACTACATTTTACTACGCTAAAAGGCAATACATTTACTACGCTAAAAGGCAATATATTTTACTACGCTAAAAGGCACTACATTTTACTACCCTAAAAAGGCACTATATTACTAGTCTTTAAGCAAATAAATAGTATAAACTAGATAAAAAACAACAAATACATTTTAATCACAAAACATTCACGAAAATACATATAAAACAGTAAAAGTAATTTATTAACAAATAATAATGATTTCTCAATTTTTACATATTTTTTTAGAACACTAATATCTAAGTCCGGATAAAAATAACATACCAGTTTAATCGCAAAAAAATACAAAACAACATACAACACATGTAAAACAGCCAATATGCATTTTTTATACGAGTTTCGACAAAAACTAAATCGGAATACCTCGATTTATGTTTTTTTTTTTGGAAAGTTAAGAATTGGAGATTTTAGTCCGAAACGAGCAACCACAATGAGAGAAGGCCTTAACTAGGATGTGGGACCAACACTCGATACTTTTTATGGGACGGGTGGGGTCCACTCGAGTTTTTTTATATCGTTAATGGGGGGCGGGGGGGGGGGGGGAGGGGGAGGGTTCTAGTTTGTCGTGGGGGAAGGGAAGGGGACGGGTATATGAAGAGGCAAAACATGATTTATTAAGGCATTTTTTATAAAACGTCTAAATAAAACACGTTTTATATAAACGTCCAATCAGATGAGGTAAAACGTAGTTTGAAAATGCGTTTCATATAAAACGTCTTTTAAAAAGGCGTTTTACCTAAACGTCCAAAACGGCCGTTAAGGTAAAACGTGGTTCAAAAGTAAATTTTATATACTTTGGTCACTAAGTTTTTTCCCCACCTATTTATATATTTTGAATCCAAAAGAGTCACAATTGGGTTCTGAACTCCCCTCTATATCGGCCTCCACATAGCATTCCACCAAAAGTATCTTGCATAGGTCCATATAGAGAAGAAATAGATGTTGACATTAGTCGTGCCGTTACTTGCAACGTTATTCTTGGAACAAGAAACACAAACATTAATAACGTTACAACTCACAAACCTGGACCAGCTAGTTAATTTGTCGACCAACCATTGGTTAGACCTCTGCTGTAATAGGCCATAGGATTGAATTTTAGGTTTGACGAATTCGGAATACAATCAGGTGGCATGAGGTATAAGTAGAAATAGTGTTTGTATAAAAATTTAATATCACTTTAATACTTTATTTGGTTAGTAAATTTGGTATAAATTATCCCGGCATTAAAATTATATTGCGATAACTTATACCTTCTTCATAAAAATTATGCATACATGTCATTTTTAATACAACATACCAAACAGTGAATAAAAAACAATAACAGAATAACTAATCCCATCATAACTAATTCCAAACCAAACGACCCCTTAATGGGTTTAGAAGTTATGTTACTCAGATACTTAGAAGTATCATCGGGCCGTGTGTCATTTGTTTTATCTATACCATATATGAAACCTTATTACCAAAAATGTGCATAATTCCTAAATTACCCGTCCAGTCCACATTATTTCTACAGTTTTTGTACCAATCATTAAAAGCTAATTAATAGCAGTTGTATCTTCCTATTTATGCGAGCTAGATTTTAGGAGAAGAATATTCTGAACAGATTTGGCGTGAATATTCTGAATAGATTTAGGAGAAGAATATTGAAACGGAAAGGAGATTTCTGTTCTTCATCTTCATCTTCATCTGTTCTTCCATATATTTTCCACCATTGATATCCATTAAAAAGCTTGAAAGCTTTGAATTCAAATTTGGGTTTTCAAAAATCATTATTTGTTTGGATTGGGTGTAATTCAGAATATGTTTAGGAGTTTATATCTCAATTTTGAGGGTTTTTGGTGAAGATTAGACTTGGTTTTGACTGAATTTCTGATTGAAACTCGAAGAAGAAGAAGAAGAAGAAGAAGACATATTTTCAGAAATTGTAGATAAATTGTAGTTAAATTGTAGAATTGTAGATAAATTGTAGATTGGGAAGACTAAAACTTCTACAAATCTTCTACAATTATGTCGAAAATGCCAATTATGCTACAATTGAAATGGGAATTGGGATATTAAAATCCAATGTATCCATTTTGTAGATATCTTGTAGATTATTTGTATTCTGATTGTAGATGCATTGTTTTCTGTTTTCACAAATCCAAAACGACTAAAGCTTCTACAAAATCTTCTGCAAAAAACAGTCTACAATTTATCTACAATTTTTTTAATTTTTCTACAATTTATCTACAATTTCTGGAAATATGTCTTCTTCTTCTTTTTCGAGTTTCAATCGACTGTATTAACCAGTAACCTTCAGCCACTGCCCAAAAAAAAAAACAAAAAAAAGAGGTCAATGAAAATAACGATACATTGATGTTTTATACGTGTAAATAGAGAATTGGTAAATAAGAACAAATCTGAAGATACAGTCGCTAAGTTAAGGTTTTTGGGGAAGTAAATGAGAACTAATCTGAAGATTATTGATGCTACTGTCCATCTCCAAAAGGGGGGGGGGGGTTTGGGGGAGAGACGGGTAAAGGTAAATATGGGAAGATACGGTCCTAAATTAGCGCCTAATATAAATGCACCTTTAATTATATCCCTAATTTGAATTATGGAATATGAATGGTAATTTGGTATGCTGAAATGTAATTAACACAAACCTTAAACATTAAGGGTAATAAGGTTTCATATATGGTATAGGAAGGTAAAAATCTTTTTTTTTTTTTGGAAAAGTTAAGTATTTATTTTTGGAGCGTCCATATTTTTGAAATACACGAACGATATATGTTAGAAGTATGTACTTGCAATTCTGTTAATTATGTAAATTATAAATTTTGAGGAGCCATTGAAAATCTAACTTAACTAATTTGATACTACCTCTATTCCATGTTTTTATACACATCCCAATCATTAAAATATCTGTTTAAATTAGTCCTTCCGTTTGAATTTATGTGAGCATATTTTATTTTTAGTTCGTGCCAAAAAAAATAATTTATTTTATATTTGAAAATAATTTATTTTTATACAATAATTTATAGCCACATAAAATATATGTGTCTTATTTTTTACTACACTTCTCTTTTTTCTTAAGCTTTATGTCGAGTCAAATAGGTTACATAAATTAAAGGGAAACTTACACAAATGTCCCAAATAAATCTAAACTTACTAACCTCTAGCCATTAGTCATAGACTTATCAAAACTAGCCAACAAAAATTGAAAAACCAAATAATAGGATTCTTTCTCTCAAAGAATCACATGCAAAAATCACTTTCCATATTTTTAAGCGTGATTAGCAACATTAGATACAAGACAGAAAGGAAATTTCATGGACGGGGTAGCAAATATGGTGATGAAATACAAAAATCTATAAAATATTCCAAAAATCTAAACAAAAAAAGAAATTTTTCAATGGGTATAGTTGAAATTCATTGAAAATATATAGATAAGTCAATATACAAAATTTGAGGAAGATTGGAGGTGATTTGGACTGGTTTTGTATCAAAATTCGTAATTAAATCGAGTTCAAAATAGTCTTCTGCGACACATGTATCACACATGTATCTCACACACAGGCATACATGGATATACATGTGATACACAATTGATACAAATATGATACATATGTGATACACAAATGATACACAGTGTGAAACACATATCATTTTTTCATGTTAAGCATTTACTTCGAATTTTCAATTCAAACCGCCTCAAAACTTCGCCAAATCATCCCAAAACTGAGATTCAAGCTCCTTAAGTTGTGCCCAATCTATTCTAATAACACCCACTCAAAACAAAGCAAAAAATTGATATTTTTTTGCTACAAATAGCTAATTGGCTAATTTAGCTAATATTAGTAATATTTTATCAATTGGTCAATTTTTGTAATGAGCTACTTATAAATGGACATAGCTGTTAATTTCCCTAAATTAAAACGAAAACATAGTACTAGTTTAATGTTTTAAACAGATCCAGCTAAATGGTCCAAACAGAAACAGTTGGTGTCCAGCGATGCCGAAGCAAACTTAATTTACTCAACGGTTCATCACCAACTAACAATGATGCAGCAGAAGATTTCAAAAACTTTTCATACAAAAATCAAGAAAAGGAAAAACACTTACTTAGACCTTAAGACAAGAACCAGAATCAAAATCATCCTCTCTGTATTATACACAATTTTTCCCACTTTACGTCGTGTCCCTGTCATTCCAATAAAAATCGTAGTCAACCATTTTTCCAGTCAATTCTCTCTATCACCCACGTGAAACTTCCAGCTACTTCCCCAACTTTCCTTTTGAAAAGACCAAAAGCAATTTTACATTTATAAGAAGAGTTCAGTTGCATTGATTGGCTTGATGCCATTAATTTTATTGAGCCGTCTTTATTTCCTTGCAAAAAAGTTAAGTATTTGTTGAGCTCACATAACTCATGTCAGTTGCTTGTGGAGCTGAGTGTGTATTGGTCTTAGGTTGTCTTCGTTGGGCATGGAAACGCTGCACATACACCGGCAATGATGATAGCGCTACGTGGCCGACAGCTACCTACGAGGAATTTGAACCAGTTCCACGTATCTGCCGTACAATTCTAGCAGTATACGAACCAAATCTCCGTAGCCCCAAGTACCCGCCGGAGGGCGGGTACAGGCTAAACCCCGATTGGGTCATTAAACAGGTCACATATGAACAAACATGTGGCAATGCACCTCCGTATTTGATCTACTGTGATCACGAACACCGAGAGATTGTAGTCGCTATTCGTGGGTTGAATTTAATGAACGAAAGTGATTACAAAGTTTTGTTGGATAATAGGTTGGGGAAACAGATGTTTGATGGAGGATATGTACATCATGGATTGTTGAAATCTGCGGTTTGGGTTTTGAATAATGAGTCTGAGACATTGAAGAAGCTTTGGATTGAGAATGGCAGGAGTTACAAGATGATATTTGCAGGTAAATATGGCAAATAGGCTGGTTGGATTAAATTCTGAGAGAGGCCTAACTAATAAAGTTGTTGTCATGTGACCGGGAGGTTACGGGTTCGAGCCGTAGAAACAACCTCTTGCAGAAATGCAAGCTAAGACTGCGTACAATAGACCCTTGTGGTCCGGCCCTTTCCGGATCCCGTGCATAGCGGAAGCTTAGTGCACCGGGCTGCCTTTTTTAGCTTAAGTTCTTATAAGTTTGTATAATTTCCAACCTCCAAATGTAATTTTGTATTTTTGGAGTTGGGATGAATTTTTACCCGTCTGGTTACGCTATTTGACCTGATAGTTTGATGGGTCATTTCAAGTTCAAACTGGAGTAAAGTCAACAACAAATCACCCTATTTTGAACCAATAGTTTAATGGGTCATTTCGAGTTTATCCCAACGGTTGAGCGAATTACTAAAAATTGGTTGATTTTGCCACCTCTATTTTGCAGGGCATTCTTTAGGTTCTGGTGTGGCGTCGTTGCTGACAATAATTGTGGCGAATCATAAGGATAGATTAGGGGGAATTCCAAGGAGTCTTTTAAGGTGTTATGCAGTTGCACCAGCACGGTGTATGTCACTCAACTTGGCTGTTAAGTATGCTGATATAATACACTCTGTGGTATTGCAGGTAAGTGTCGGAAATTGATCCAGAATTTTGAGTCAGTGGGTAGATAATACACTTTTCACTGATTATTCTTTTGTGGCAAAGAGTGTGGACGTGACACACATTTTGAATATTTTAAAAAAAATTATCTTATATGTAATAATTGATTGGAACTGCCTTCGTATGCTGCATCTGCTCATGCTGAGAATGCTTAAATTTTGGGAATGTATTCTGGAAGATGTTATTAATGGGTGGTGAGGTGGTCGATCAACTGGGAAAAGAGAGATCGACTAGGGACTAATTACTAACGGGTTCAGAGTAATGTAGTCAGTTGATTTAGCTGATAAATATTGGGCATAGGATAATGTAGTCTGCAAATGCTACAAGGAAAGAACCAATTTTTGTAATGAGCAGTTAATCATTCCTTTGATTTACAGTAAAGTTGAATCTTTACTATCTCCTGTTTTTGGAATTTACTGCCAAGAGTGAAAAGTTGAAGACTTGAAGTACATCGAGACAGTTCAACTAGCATCATCTCATCCGTTTTCGGGTGTAAATTTAAGTGCCTCCTGTTATAGATGGCATTTGGGTGTCGAGATCTATAGGCATTATATATTTATGTATCTTATATTACCACTTGAAATGCAATTGGCTAGAGTTTGTACTGATCACGTGGGAGGTAAGACGATTCCAAGGAATGCGACTAAGCTGGTAGTTTAGTCGCTAACTACAACAACAATATACCCAGTGTAATCCCTCAAGTGAGATCTTATGAGAGTAGTGTGTACGCAAACCTTACCCCTACCTTGTGTGCGATAGAGATACTGCTTCTGATAGACCTTCGGCTCAAAGACAAAAAAAAAAAAAAAACCAAAGTCGCTAACTGATAACTTATTTTTTTAGCTGCTACTTAGTTAAAATTAAACCATTGGGCAATAATTTTTTGTGACATTTCAATAAAATATTTGCCCACATTAACAGGAATTTCCATTGTTTTTCTCTGGTCATATTTGCAAATTTGAGAAGTTTCAGTTTGCAGTTATCTGTTTTCACTTTAATTCTTAGACTAAAACTATCCGTGAAGCCATAAAAAGACCTGCATATGTGTTAATTTGCTCCTTAGTTTATGGGAAATTCATGAACCATCACATCCAGTGAATTAACAACGTAACCATGACTCTTTCCTAACAGGATGATTTCTTGCCAAGAACAGCCACCCCACTTGAAGATATATTTAAATCCATCTTCTGGTTAGTTTAAATCCAAACTCTGTGTGCATAATAAAGCTTTCTCTATATTCTCTGATTTCTTGCCGTTGCGTGATTGCTATAATTATCTCTTATACCAGGCATTAATGCTTTCAACAGTTTACCGTGCTTGATATTTTTGGTATGCTTGAGAGATACCTTCATTCCCGAGGGCAGAAAACTCCGAGATCCAAGAAGACTTTATGCGCCAGGCCGCATGTATCACGTTGTAGAAAGAAGATTTTGCAGGTAAAGCATATTCAGATGAGGGATACTAGTGTACTACCTACTGTCAAAGTAATGCAAACTAGTGATTATGATATAACAAAGCCTCTGTCAGTGTGACTTTCACAGAACCGCCAAACGTTGCTTGTAGTCATTGTGTGCTTCATTTGACTTGTGTTCTAGATAAATTATATCTTCCTTCAGTTCTGTGCGTGATGAGATCTCATTCGTTTTCTAATTTTCTGCTGTCTTGATTTCCCTGTTTATGTTTCACAGCCTGGCTTATAAGTCTATCGAATTGGTGTTGGGGTCTGATCCTTGCCACTATCAACTAGTATGAGTCATCCCAAACATTGTGCTCTTAAAGTGGTGTTTGTTCAACTATCAGTCTTGTCAATATTCTGTCCTCATCTTGTTAAATCCACTGATTAGGATATACTAACCCTGACAAATAGAGCCATTGTGTTCCGTTAGTTCCCTGAATCATTGAAGATAGTATAGAACAGTTTCATATGAAATGCATCGGCATCTTTATCTCCTATTAAATAGACGAGTGCAGAATAAAGTTGAACTAATCTCGGTCCTCAGATACTGGTGAATTATTCTCACTAGTTGGACAAGAAGCATGTAGCCCTCATTGCTTTTGTTTCCCTAGTTTGAGTTAATCTTAAAAAATCTGCCCTAGTTATTATCCTCTTCTGTTGTTTTCCCTAAATTGCACCATGAGTTGGTTTAGAGTGGGAGAGATAAAAACCTCTAGTAGTACGAATAGATTCTTGGTTCATTTCTTTCTCTCATGTCCAGGACTTTCATATTAGCTACCTAACGAATTTCACTATCCGTATGTTTCCTATTTGTGTTTTCTGATGCTACGATATATTTATTCTCTTCATGTAACTGTCGGCGCTCGCTTAGGCATTTACAATTATTGTACAGACGCTGCTACAACAAAATATTTTCAGATGAGACCATGGGGTTTTCCACCGTTTTGGATTTCAGCTTAGCCATTTTAAGAAAAAAATGTTTTTTCCACCGTTTTTTCGAGGGTCTTCCGGAAATAGCCTCTCTATCTTCTTGAAGGTAGGGGTAAGGTCTGCGTACCTTCTACCCTCCCCAGACCCCATTTGTGAGATTGCACTGGGTCTATTGTTGTTGTTGTTAGGACGATTTAAAGATCTCCTCTTGGTTATGATATTAGCACTCAGTGTTTATGATATTTTTGCAACAGTGAAGCTTTAATACTCTTGATGTGCAATTTCCTGCTTGACAGATGTGGGAGGTACCCTCCAGATGTTAGAACTGCCATCCCAGTTGACGGAAGATTTGAGCATATCGTGTTGTCACACAATGCTACAGCTGATCATGGAATCCTTTGGATTGAAAGAGAATCTGAAAAAGCATTAGCAGTAAGTAGCATCAACATACTTTTTCCTTTGTAAAGGAAGGACTCCAGTTGGTCATCTATGATTTCATTATGCGGCAAAACATGTTAGGAAGTAAATGCCTTGCTTTCATCACGCGAAAATTTCCAAAGATAAAAGCATAAACCTAGTCATTTTGTCATTGATAAGAGGAGTGGTTGTCTTCGTAAAAGAGAACCAAATATATGTGCTTTTGGACACAACCGGATCTTTTTATTTTATCCACACAGTGAAATGATACTACCTGCATGGAAATAGACTGAGCAAAGATTTCACGTTTGCAGGAAGGTATAGGTTTTTGCGACAACAGTGTTACCTTTGCGGCCTATAAATAGTGGCCTACTTTTCTCCAAATTCCAATAGAAGTTCAAATTGTGGGTAACATATAGTGATTTGCGTGTTTGAAGTTATTATGGCTTGGCTCGTCGCGTACTTCTTCATCTCATTGCCTTTCAGTGTTTTAAGTCTAGAAATACTGTACTCCATCTGTATTTCATGCTGCATCTGTCTACCAGCTCAGTTTCCACTGAAATCTTTCAATGTTAAGATCCTGAAATGCATAGTAGCAAAACCAATGTATAGTCATCCGTGCTATATTTCCGCATGCTTGCAAGTCATTGTTGTCTTCTTTCAATGGTTACATTAATCAAACAATCAACTATGTCTCAATCCCCAATCAATTGGGGTCAGCTATATGAATCCTCATTTGCAGAGGCAAGATTTAAATTCTATGGTTTCAACCTCTAAGGTTTTTAGCATGAAACACATTGTATTTTTAAATTTATGCGTTCATATCTATTATGTGTTGTAATTTTAGTGGATTTTACACATAAATTTATGATCCGCATCAAAAGTTCTGGATTCAGATAAACCCGGTACTACTATGCTGCATCCCCCTCCCCCTCCCCCCTCCCCCCTTGTGTGTTGGACGAATTTTGATCTAGTTGAGCAAACTCTTCCTTGCAGAGACTTAAGGAGGCTAGTGCTGAGATCACAACTACTCCCCCCAAAATGCAGAAAATTGAAAGGCTGAAGACATTAGAAAAAGAACACAAGGATGCACTCGAAAGAGCTGTCAGTTTAAACATACCACACGCTGTGGACGCAGATGAAGAGGAATCCACGGAGAGTATAACTGAGGAGTCATCACAGAAACAAGAGGAAGATGCATCCACAAGCAAAGCGCAGTGCAGTGATGCAAGAACTAACTGGAATGAAGTAGTTGAGAAGCTTTTCAATAGAGATGAAACTGGGAAATTACGATTAAAGAGAGATGCAACTGGTCTCAAGTAACAACGCTATTCCAAGGTGCTTTCTCTCTCTTTTTTATGATGGCTATGTATGTTAGACGAAAGCATTATTACTCGTGTTCCAACAACTCATAATTCTTTATTATCCATATCGCCCTGTACAATATCTTCTTTTTGTATATCAACGACCATAATGTACAATCTGAAGCCCCGTCAATAATACAGTTGGAAATTCTTTTATGTAATTATTTTAGGCAGTTCCTCGTGGAATGTGATTTGTTCATGAATTCTTGTTTACAATCTGAGTGTTCATTTGGTATTCTGATACCACGCCCTCAATTTGTTATACCTTTACATTCTAATTTTTCCTGTCAATTGTTCAGTGTGCAGATTAGTTCATTAACTTGTCTACACTCTACATTAATATCAATCTTATAGCAATTTTCTCTCCCTGGCTTGATCAGAAGACTGTAGACATAGCAAAATGGCATTGACAGTTCGATACTGAGACATTTACAAGTCATGCATTCTTTAACCAAGTCATATATGTTATGCTTTTTTATAGCCAGCTGGTATGTACAAAGACCAACTCAATAGCTAGTTGCCAAATATGACTGTGTTAGGATGCTGCTTCTTCCTTCTTTATTGTTTTTAATCTTTCACATAATTAACAATAAATAAGTAGAGAAGGCCCATCTGAACGTAGTAATAAAAGCCAATGAAACTGCAGTTTGAATTGCAACCTCTTAGCACCGAAGAGCACTGGGAATGAAGAAACGCATGGAGGAGAGTACTTCCTCTTTAAATACGGTATTGGAAGTTATACCCAAAGAGGGGGGGGGGGGGGGGGGGTATAAGTGGC